CTCTAATTTCTTCTCTTGAGCCTTTTTGATGGGCCAGGCTTCTGCTCCGTACATCATCGCAGGTCTCACAACGGTTTTATAGACCTTTCCTTTCACCCTTGCGCTGATCTTATTGTCGCATAGCACTCCCGACGCATTTTTCCAATTTCTCCATCCCGACTGGATTCTAATCATTTTTTTTTTTTGTTGTTGTTGTTTTGGCAGGGTTTTTACGGCCGGATGCCCTTCAGCTTTGTTATTAAAACATGTATATCTTAATCTAGTGCTGCCATCTATTAGTAATCTGAGATAATATTAGTACATCCTAATTGTGGTTTTCTTAGAAGTAACTAATTATATTAATGAAAATTAATGGGATAGAGCTGTGTTTAGCAATTCTTTTCACAAAAGCCAGTAGAACTGGTGGTAAAATCGTATTCCTCTGAATGAGACAGTTTTTTAATTCACTTCTGTGAGAGAAACTTCTTCATAACGTTTCTCATTCAAGTCAATATGAAATAAACTAATAAGAAGTTTTCCTTTCGGAAGTAGTTTCTAAAAGTGATTAAAATAACATAAGCTAAGGCATTGCAACACCAAATAAAGTGAGACTGACTCTTTGAACCTTGGACTCTTCCCTGATATTTTCTATTAGTACGCTTTGTGTATTAGTAATATACAGTTTCAATAAACTGCAACAAGTAGCTATATGTTCAAATTTTTATTTAAAATATCAGCTTACATATCTTTCAACTATAAAACTTAAAAATTCAAATAAAAAATTATATGAACAATATTGCCTTTTGATTTTAGTAAAATATATCAAAAACATATTACATACTTTCATTCTCTAGCACGCACATTGAGCTGGCATAATTTTACCGAATGTATAAAATTATTCTAAACTGTGACGTCACTTAACGTGAGTGTGACGTCATGGGTTCATGTTAAAATTGGTTGGTTTATTGCATACCTAAGAATCTAATCCTCTGTTTTTGTATAAAGTGTATTGAATACGTATGGGTGTTAACCATAATAAGCTCAATAACAATTCATTTGATACAGAAGTTTGCTTGTTTGTGTGTTGAATTTCTTGCAAAGTTGCTCGAGGGCTATCTTCGCTAGCTGTCCTAAATTTAGAGTGATAGAAAACGCTGCTATTCAACGCTACCCAACTCTTGGGCTAATCTTATCAGACCATATAGTAGAACTTAGATCTAACCGTCACTCTAATAACGCACCCACGGCCCCAAAGTGTGGAGCACAATAATTATTATTATTACTTTTCTTATTGGTGGTAACTGGGCACGAATAACAAGACCCCAGATACACAGTCCGGTATACTAACTACTGAGCCCAAATGAAAAATAAACTGAACTTTGATCTCATTTTAACTTATTTCATTTTACTGAATAAAATGTATTAAAAACTCTCATTGATTTTAACGAATTACTATAGTCGGTTTTTAAGCACAAAGCTACATAATGGACCATCTGCGCTCTTTCTACCGGTAGAATCGAGCCCCAGATTTTAGCATTGTAACTTCGGCTAACCCACTAAGGGACCATTTTAAGTCAATTTTAAAACTTGAGAAATAAATCATTACAGGCATACTGTCAATCTTTCATTCTAATTGTTCAGTAATAATAACGTCTCTCAACTTCTTAAGTATTGCAGCGTTCTTATGAGAGATAAGTGGTGAAAAAGACTGCGAACTTATAAACTGTTTTAAAAAATCATCGTATAATAATGAATATCAGATCCTATACGAGTACAAAATTAGACAAATGAATAGTAAAACATTTGATGTGATTCACAAGTTCCTTTGTAACCTCCAGTGGCAATATATTTTTCAAATTTTGTCGTCATCCAACTCTGAAAATCATAATAAACTTTTGAAAATATTGTATTCAGAATCTTCTGAGTAGAGGTGTAAACTTTAGAATATCAAAAGCAAGAATCCATTTCTTTTTATGCTGTTGTACAAACTAAGTAAAGACAGAGAAATGAATGGACCACGCACATGAAATCAGATACACTGAAACAGACAGGCCAAATACAGAATGATAGATGACATGCATATGAAATCAGAGACAAACAAGCCAAATATAGAATGACAGGTGACAGATTAGACTTAAAACATTGTTTTAGTTTAGGAATTCGTTAGGCTTCATACATTATTTCAACAAGTTATTCAAAAGATCTTTGGCATTTTTCATCACAACTTCCTAAGAAAGAATAAATAACAACTGGACAAACTTTACAACCATGTAGATCAGTTCAGTGAGATATCTAAAAACAAACACATATTTTTAATTCCTGATATCCATATCCAAAATACTTTTAGAAAAAGTAAGACCACAACTTTTCTTTTAACTCTGACGAATAGATCATAATTTATCAAATCATAAGAATATAAAGTTACCAAAATTCGTAGAGCTTTAAACAATAAGTATATCCGTGTCAGTGTAAATTACTTGTACCTGATG